GCCACTGATGGAGAACACGGATGATGTTGAATCTGCAGAAATAACACAACATTCACGGTCCGCTCTGTAAAAAACGCATTTCTTCACTGAGTCGATAAGAACCAGGAGGTGGCGCTCTCTCTGGTCTGACTGTTCACATCTCTGTTGAGTGTGTAATGGCCTGTGGACGTGGACGTGTGGAGGCTTCACCACATTTTAATTATGGTCTGTTTGGTCATGAGGAGGAAAAAAAAAAAAAAAAAAAGAGCAGCGCGGCAGGAGCCACAGCTGAAGACCGAGTCCTCGGGGATTCGAGCTCCGACTGACGGACACACCGGGACTCTGCATGTTCTCACTGTTGCTGCAGTGACGGACCAGACCAGACCAGACCGGACTGAACTGGACCGGAGCCTGTGAGTGTTAGAATAAACAGACGGTCCAGGTCCAGGGTGAGAGGAAACCTGTCCTGCGACAAACCTCTGCCGTACTGACACCGACCGGGCTGCGAACACAGCGGCTGCTGCTGTGACGTCAGGACACGGACACGGACACGGACACAGACACAGACACAGACACAGAGGAGCTGCAGGAAACAGAACATTACCATGGTGAGTGCGCTGATGCTCCGGGTTGGTACCAGTCTCTACGGCCGTGGCATCCGCCTCTCACGCCCCTGCCTCTCGGCTCGGCTCGGCTAGGATCGGCTCGGCTCGGCCCCTCACGGTAAGGCGATCTTCCACAAACGGAGGCCAACCTTCAGGTGCAGAAGGACAGACGGAGTGACACCGACGGACGGACGGTTCTGAGGAGCAGCAGGTGACGGAGGAACGCCAGTGATGGGTGTGAGGAGGGGGGAGACACGGGTGGATGTCCTTGTTTGTTCAGCTGCACGAAGGAGAGAGGAGAGAGGAGAGAGAACGGTGAGGATGATGGGCTGACGTCCCCTCCCTCTCCCATCCTCCCCTAACCCGCCCACACTGCGGCTCTCTCTCCCTCCCTCCCTCCCCTTCTCTCTCGCTCTCACTCACTTTCTCTCTCTCAGTTGCTTACTCACACCTTCATTCTTTTCTCCCCCCCCCCCTCCCCTCCCCCCCCCTCCCCCGTCTGCTAATTTATCACGCCGCAGTTGCCACCACTCCAGCTTCCACTGCAATGTCCAAGAATGCTTTTAAACACTGTTAGTAGACTGTTTTCATTATCTCCTAATTTACAACCCTGTAGGACTCCAAAAAGAGAGCCCACGGTTATGCGGCTACACGAGGCTGCTTGTTTTTGTTTTTTTTTTTTTTTTACAAATCAGACCTCATCAAAGTGACAGCCTGCTGCTCTGGCTCTCTGCTCTGCTGTTAAACACACACTAACAGTGACTCAGATCTCCACAGAGCTCATCTGTTCCCATCACCTTGGTTTTCCAAGGAGCTGCGATCCTACGACAAACACACAAACACACACACTCACACACACACTCACACTCCTCCAACACATTTCAAAGACGTCTTTCTTCGTCGTCTTCATCAGGTCCTCCTCCTCGTTAGCAGGCTGCAAAATGACGTTATCACCTGTTTATGGAAGGAAACGGAAAAAAAAACAAAAAATCACACACACAAACACACACACACACAGTCGTGTATCTGTGATCACTCACTTCCTGTCTGCTCAGTCCGTCAGGTCAACTCACACTGAGAGCCGTGGTAAAGTTTAACCTTTGACCTCTGACCTGTGACGATGTTAAAACAGTGACGACCTTCTGGAACAGTACTGCACCAAACAGAACTAAGGAATACTACAGTATACTACGGTAGTACCACAGACCACCACACGGCAGTGCTGTCAGGGGGTGGGATTCAAACCAGCACTCCTCACATGACAAGCCTGAGCCTTTGATGTTCGCCCACTGGCTACGACCAAGTTCTGCTCCAACACCTGAACGTCTCTCAGCCTACGTCGGACCTGACGTCTGGGTGTAATACTGGGTCACAACCAACGATACTGCCACCTACTGTACTGGAGTGTGTAGTGTCATGGTCTGACCAGTGACTACTCTTTACACCTTGATGTGAGATTCATTTTTTCCTGCAAACTGTCACACAATTGAACCGATTTTTAACCGTTCCAGACGCAGCGTCACATCCCTAAAGACAATCTTAAAAAACAGCCACAAATACACAGGACGTTTTCCCAAAATGCATAATTTTAATGAAGATATAAAAGTGTATTGGAAGAAAAAAAAATTACTCCCCTTCATTATTTCCAGATTTTCTATCGTACATGTGAAAAAGGCAGAATCAGTCTCAGGAATTTCACACCGGATTAAAAATCATCAGCTGTTTAAATCTCTCTCATATAAAGTCTGTGACCGCGGTGAGGTCGTAGCGCTCAGCATACGGGCTCTGCACCAATCACCTGCGGCCTGTGAGCCACCGGGTTAATTAAAGAAGGAACTCAACAACGATGGGAGAAGTGAACGCATCGTTCTGCTTCAACACGAGGGACATTTCAAGATTTGTCATTTTCTTGTCGTTTGTCCCTCCATAATAAAAAAAAAAAAATTCAGAAGACAGCAGGAACCTGGTGTCAAACTCCGGGCGACGCAGAATGAAGAACAATCTGATGGATTAGGCAGTGAAGAAGTCTCTGGTTTGGAATCAACAACGTTGATATTTGTGCCTTTTTAAAAGTGGAGTGGAGTCAGGAGACGGGGGAGACGGGGGAGACGGGGACGTGTGGCAACAAACAGCTACAACATCAGGTGAGTCCGAGGCGAACACTCATCCACAACATGTCATCAAAGCTACAAAAAGTTGTTTCTTCTTCTAATAAAACCTGCGGGGACTTTATAAAATCAAACTCAAACCAAGTGTAAAAACATTCAAGGATACAAGGCCATCCTGGGAGTGTGTGACGCTTCGTGGTGTGTTCGTCGCTCGTCCCAGCTTATCGTCTTTTTTGTGGCTTAAACGGAGCGCAGTACGTTTGACGTGTTTAGGACGAAACGCCAGCACCGAGCGCCGACCTTCCACAGAGAGGCCGCGGCGGATTCCAGGTGTCGTCAGGAAAAAACAAAACAAAACATAAAAACAACAGAGCCCGCGGGCGACTCTGAACCCGTGAACGTGAGTGCAATTCTGTATCGACACCATGTGAATCCGTCACGTCTGGCGTGTCTTAAAGGTGAACACACGAAGAAGAAACTAACAGGAAATCACCCCTGATTGGCTCACAAACACCCCACGTGGCACGATGGTCATTTCCTGTAAACATTTCTCTGAATGTTTATAAAAACACCCTCCCCATTTAAAACACAAAAATATATAGAAATTTATTTTTACATGGACACATATATTTATATATTACTAAAGGCCTTAAATTTTATCCTTTCTTCTCCTTGAAAGTCACAGTTCCCTTCAGTGAAGTTTTTTTTTTTTTTTGCCTCAGTCAGGACCTGGAAAGAGAAGCAGTCGTTATGTTTATTCCACATTTCTTCTTCTTCTTCTTCTTTCTAGCGACTGAAGCACATCAGTAAAATATAAATAAATAAACAAACAAACTGAACTGGAACTCACTCAAGTTTTACTCCTGCTTTTTCTGGCTGCGTTCGTTCTTAGGCACCAGAACCTTCCGCAGGTACGGCATGGCTAAATAGGCCACCAGGAAGAAGAGGTGACCGCAGAAATAGATGGACCTGTAAACCTGCAGAGAGACAAAGGAACAAACGACCGCCGACTCATTTGATCAGCCTTCGCCAAATGAACTCTACTCCACCTGACTGACTCGACCACATCAGATCACGTTAGATTGACCTGTAATGACCCCAAACTGGAGAAACGCCACTCCGTGTCATGACAGAGAATTCTCAAACGTGGGGTGCGGCTCCTCAGGTGGAAAATGATCCAAATTCACAACATTGGTCTAAAAACTTTTTTTTTTCCTGTGAATAATTTGTCCTGTTTAGTCGACACGACATTGACAGGCAGGATAATTAACACTAGGGGGCAGAGTATAAAAAGGCCCATCTGGTTGACGTCTATTCCCACCTACACAGACAGAAGTGAAAAATAAAAGACCAAAAAGAAAGAAAAGAGAGTTGACAACGTGCTGCGTCGGGACTTGGACGTTACCTTTAACCATTTGTCATAAGTGAAGAGGCAGAACGCCACCAGAGGGTAGCCCATGAAGAGCCAGTGTATGAACTGCTGCACTACATAGATGACAGGGTAGAGGGCGCTGTTGGCCAACTTCGTCAACGACGGACTGTCCCGCACCAGAGCCTGGGCCTGAAAAACAGAAAAAAAAAACAAAAAAAACCCCATAGTTCAACTGTGTGTGTATCCAGAAGTACTTCATCTACGTGTACGACGTGTACTCGTTAGTATCATCTGTGGTTTTTTTTCTAAAACTCTGACCTGTCTCTCTACAGTGATGATGAAGAACTCCATGGAGAAGCAGAGGATGTAGCCCGAGTGCAGGCCGTGCCAGATGGCCAAGAACACCAGTGTGGCCACATGGGACAGAGTCTTGTTTCCCAGGAACTTCAAACGCTTGAAAACATGCCTGGAAAAAAGAAAAGAGAAAGACAAAAAAAAAAATAGAGAATCAGTCACTTAACCAGTTAACCAGTCACCACTGGTCAACTTCATTATTTGTTCAGATGTCACCGTTTACAGCCCGCAGACCAGAGGTTTGTTACAGCTCACTGATGTTGTCACTGTTTTCAGCTGTGTTTGTTGATTATTGGTTGAGTCTTATTTATTTGAACTCCATCACTCAGGTTCATCACAGTATAGCCGGTTACAGCGCCACCTGGTGAACATCTGCATCAATGTGTGTCAGGAGTAGAACATGTGACTAAAAATAGCTGGAGATTCTGTTCCTGTATCTGTCCACGTCATCAACGGTCATCAGTCAGAAGTGGAGTCCAGAAGGACCAGAGTCACTGATCCTCCAGCTGCCTTATGTTTTCTATGGTTACAACCACCAGGGGCCAGTGTTGAGCTCAGAATACCTTTGTAATCAAAAACCTCAGACACATAAACATGGCGATGCTGGGAGTGGGGGTCAGACTTCAACTGACCCATGTTCCAACCTCCCAGACCGTGGGTCCGAGGCCACACCCACCTGGCAGCCCAGGCGTTAGTGTTGATGTTGAAGGACGCGATGGTTCCTCCAAAGAGCGGCGTGGTTTCAAAGAGCCACACTTTGATGTTGGCACAGGCGTCCCACTGCGGCTGTCCGTCCACCACGCCGTTGTAGCCCAGGCCCGTCAGTATACACACCCCCTCCTGGAAAACACCAGAGGAGAGAACCAACATATTGAGCAGAGTTAAAGTGGCCGGTCGTGGGTTCGAATCCCAACAATCACACATATTTTCAGAGCAGGATTTGAAGTTGACAGCTGATACTTACAGCTATAACCCAACAGCTGACGTATTTGTAGAGGATGACTTTGGCCCAGAGCAGAATAAACACACAGCGATACCAGAAGGGCTGAGCCTGAGGAGGAGGAGGAGGAGGAGGAGGAGGAAGAGGAGGAGGAGGAGAAAACAGAGGTAACCTTTAGAGAACATTCCACTGATCGGCTCGTTTCTCCAGAAGGAAAAAAACAAAAAACAAACCCAGAAACGTGTCCTTTCTGACTCTCACCTCGTACTCATCTGTTAGGTAGTAGCTGTCTGGGTAATGAGGACCAAATATTGTATAAATCACCAGGAAGAAGAAGCCCAGAGTAAACCTCTTCAGGGCGGGAATAATGCTGCAAAATACAGAGAGTGTGAGTCGAGGTACTGAGGAGTACACATGTAGTACACATGTAGTACACACGTAGTACACACGTAAATATGGCCTGTGAATAACTTTAATAATTCATGTGTTCTTAGCAGGGGGGTTGTACTGTCAGGAATCTGGCACCACCACACGGGGGCAGCAGTATGAAGTATTGTGATATACTGTGATACTAATATCATGACGATTTTTCTCACCAAATTCCCAGTATATATTGATCCCAGGGGGAATTGGTGAGAAAAATCAATCAATAACTGATGAAGGAGGAGATTGATACGGGATCAGGAAATAAAATTAAATTTAAAAAAAATCACAGTATTCCAGTGTACAGATCTTTTCTTACTCCACTGGTTCTTAGGTGATTTTGGTGCTGTGTTTTCACCTGTTCGGGGGCTTCCCGGGGCAGTCGGTGAGCTCCCCTGCCACCAGCCTCTGGTAGCTTCGTAGTGTAAACTGGGGACCCACCAAAAAGCCTCCATAAAAGTAGGAGAAGCCGCACACCTCCAGCAGAGAAGGCGCGGACGCCAGAGCTGCTTTCTTCTGCTCTGCACTCAACTGAGACTGAGGAGGAAAATGTTGGACAACATTTAACTTAACGTTTTCAGACCAGTGACACCTTCTGGTCATTGGTGTAACAAACTAATGAAACATTTAATCACAAAAATACAGTAAAAACTAATTAAATAAATACATTAAACCAGTACAAACACACTGATATACAACAGTTACGCCTCCAGCAGGTGGCGCCATGGGCGACAGTTAATTTGGCTTATTAGCAAATCAAAATTGATTTTTTTGAAATACTCCTGACAGAAATTAACATTTAACTAATATATTTTTTTAAAGCTGATCCTGATATTTGCTGACATCACTATGAAAAAAGGGAACATGAAGGAGAGTGCACGTGAGTCAGCGTGAGAGTGCACGTGAGTCATGAGGTTCATGACAGTGACCTAATGTAGGATCTCAGTTTGAGACTGGGCCAAGATTTACATCTGAAGAAAAAGATACTACAAGGGAACGTGTTGATGGACCTGACACTCGCACTGATGAACATAAAATTAGAGGGAAAAACGACAATCAAGGGGAAATAATAAACGGACATCAATCTACTCACTGGGTCTTTTGCACCGTCATAAAAATCGAACGCCAAACCTGTAATTGGAAAAGAAAAAGTCTTTGAAAATATTATATAATACAAAATAGCTAACGTTAGCTACAACAGTCCTGGTACAGACACCAGAGCTAACGTTAGCTACAACAGTCCTGATCAGATAACAGGCCTAAGAAGTCTTGGAATGTTGAATAGATTAGTTGTAGTTGTACTGCGAGTCTGTAGTAATCTGTGTCTGTCGTAGACGGTTCTAGTTTTGTTCTTCTACGTCACCTGTATGTGAACTACACCCACAGCTTTGACAACAGTACGTAGATCAGTCGTGTCACAGTTACAGTTGACAACAGTACGTAGATCAGTCGTGTTGACGGAGCAGATGTCACAGTTCTCACCAACGAGTTTCAGCATCAGGACACAATGAGGCATCGTCCACTTGATGTCGTACTCCTCTGTTGCTGTGTAATAATACCCTGCCAGCAGGTACACCTTCAGGGGGGGAGGGAGGGGGGGAGAGGGGTAGAATTACACCAGCACCAAAATTAAGAGGGAAATTCACAACATTAACTACATTAATTAACTGGTGACACAGCTGTCATGTGATTAATCACATCAAAGTTTTTAAATAACTTGACAGCCATCAAACAGACACCAGTCATGTGAAGGAGGTCGTTATAAAACATCAAGATAAAAAAGTGTTGGCAACTGAAGGAACACAGAACATTCTAGATCAGGGTTCATGGAAGAGGAGAATCTCACCATTTGAAAAGTAAAGCTGCTCAGAACGGTGGTTACCGTCCGTCCCATCAGCCTCAACATCAGGAACTGCACCAGGATACATACTGCAGAGTGACAGAGCTGAGCGCCTGGGAGAGACAGACAGAGGAGGGTGAGGACGACGGTGGGGGGAGGCGGGGGGGGGAGTAAAGTGAGACCTACAGGACTTTAAAAAAAAAAAGCATGTTTTGTTCTGAAACAAAGTGAAACGTGGTGAACGTCTGAGTTGAACTGAGCCGTTGACGAGAAACTGCTGTAAACATTCCACAAAGACAGAAATAAAACAACAGACCTGCTGTAAAATCCAGGTGGAGGCAGAAAGAAAAGGAAGAAAAGAAGAAATGTTAGCAGTTCTTCATCAGTCTGACTGTTGAGATTCACAGAAGATTCTTCTTCTCTTCACCTTTGACCCACAGGATTTTGTACAATACAACCAGTATGAACCATTGTGTATAAATAATAATTGATAAGAACAATAGTGAAGCAAATTAAAAAATGCACATTAATTATTAGGCCTGTAACGAGACACAATACAAAATGATTCACGATATTTTACAGGAACACTGTTGGTGTCTGTGGAACAAGTTCTTCCCTCGTTCTGAATGTCACGCAAAATGATTCACGATATTTTACAGGAATGTCACACAGGCTACGTAGACACCTGACGTCTGGGTTTAATAGCGGGTCAAAACCAACATTTTCTGGCGCATACTGCCACCTACTGTACTGGAGTGTGTAGTGTCATAGCTTGATGTGCAACTGATTTTTATTTCAACTGCTGAGAATTGTCACAGATTTGTATCGACTTTAATCGATTCACGATGCATCGTTACATCACTCCTCATTATCCGTCGGAAATTCAAATTCAAAGAACATTCTATCTCTATTGAAGGCTACAGTTAAACAGCGTTCTCAGTGTTAACTGAACGAGAACCCAACAGCTGACGTTTAAGAAAACTCCGTCACCGTCAACAACGTCAGTACAACCGTACAAATGTTGTGGTCATCTCACCAAAGTTGAATGCTGCTAGAGCCAGTCCAGTGACTGCGTGGAATAAATGAATGACGGTGGAAGACTGGTGGAACAAGAAGCGTCTGTAAACCACAGCAAACGGGTAACCTGCAGGAGAGGAAGAAGAAAAAAAAAAAAAACTCATCAGGCGTCTCTGATAGGACCACAGCCTCGTGTAGAAGCACATGATAGGCTCACATTTTTCAACAGTGATGTCGTTGGAGCACACGAGGGCTGAGACGTCGGGCAGAGAAAATTGACAACAAGTGCATTATAAGAATTATAAAAAACAAAACAAAAGGAGGCTTATTCTCCCTTCATTTGTTAGGTTTGATTTTACTGTCACATCTTTTCAACCATGAGTCACATGTGAATGAATGTAACGATGACAATCTGTTTATCACATCATAAATCAAGGAAGTTCTGACTCTATTGGTACACACTGAAGAACTGCTGAGGTGGAAATTTGCATTTTAGACTTGATGTAGTTTCTCTTCTGGTTTAAGGGACTGGAGTTTTTTACTGTAAAAAATAAATAAATAAAAGGCTCAGCAGAAAGAGAAAAACTGGTAGAACGACCCGTACGACTGCACCGGACAGAGAAAACAACACGTCGTCTGTTTGTTTGTGTAAACCTCCAGTGCGACAGACACACGGGTCGAGGAGGTGGAGACACAATAAAGGTCTGTGTCCACGGAGCAGCCACGGACTTGAACGCACCGTTTGTTTGTTATACAAGGTCCCCCAGCCATAGTTTGGACCACAGGTATGATGAGCTGACAGGGACTCAGTCATCACTGACAACACTGTCATTTTCCTTTGTTACGAGTCACAAAAGGTGGCGCTCTCTTTGCTGCCTCACATCAATTATTAAGACAAAAAAAAACCTTTTCATTTGAAAATAAAACACCAGCCCTGTCTGACTGAGATGAAGTTCAGTCCAAGAACAGGCTTTAAAATGGAACAAACGGATGGTTTCAGTTGTGAACACGTCTATTATTGTCCTCTCACGTACGGTTGAAAGAAATAAACACAGGTTTTGGGAGCATTTGTGAAAGCAGCCAATCAACAGGAGTCATCAAAGACCAGACTAACAGTCAGAATTACACATTACACGTGTCGTCTGCAGTGCATCTTAAAAAACACCACCCAAACTGCAAAGGCTGTTTCAGTGGCACAATTCAAACCAAATTTTTGAAATTCTTAAACCACATAACCAAAAATACTCTCTATATAAGAGTGGGAAAGTACTGGGGTTAAGATTTAAGTAACTTTCACCTAATATTATACATTATATGTATTTTCTTAAAAACTATTCCTTATACAAACACCAGATCATCTGTTTGATGATGATAGAAACCAGTTTTTATAAAGTCAACCATTTATTATAAATATAACAAACTAGAATGCCTAAAGAAATGTAAATATACAGCACCGTTGTCTTACTGTGTCTGTTTGTGAACATGTAAATAAGACAGTCTGGCTTTAAAAAAAGAGTGAACAATATTGATCTTGGTCATGACAGTAGTTAAGAGCCACAAAGGTCTGTGAACAATATTGATCTTGGTCATGACACTGACACTGCTGCCTTGGCTGAGCAGCTGGTTGACCAAACCTCACTCGTGTTGCTCTATGTTTAGCAGCGGAAACGTTGGCGAAACCTCCAGTTATTTCAGGCCTGAGCAGTTACTATGTTACTAAAAATGATGCAACACTCATCAAGTAACACAAGGACAAAGAGCAGAAGACGGGGCTGGTTGTCAGGCTATAGGCAGGAGCCAATCAAAGTGTGAGGTTGAAACATTCCACAGTGATTGTGCTTCACTCGGAGAAAAAAGAGAAGAGAAGAAATACACGTGTCCATTAGTCTGACCAAAGTTCAGAGGACACTCTTGGAGGGCGCCCTCCTTCCAGAACCCTGACATTTTCAGCCACTGTCGTGAGGAATCTACAAGTTAAAGCCCGAAGACAACAGACCACAGTAGCAACATGAAGCTAGCAAAAAACAAATTAAAAATGCTGTCTTTCAACACAGGAATGTAGAGTGAGAGTAGTGACATTCTGACATCTTATTTTGCATGACAAAGCCTGGCCGTCCCCCCATCAGCCCCGTCTGTTATTGTCTCTTCTCCAGCGCTAGTCTCTCCCAAATATTTGCTTAATCCAACAGACAACAAACAATTGTAATACACTTAAAAAAAGGGGGAAGGAGAAAGGGTGCATTTAGGTGACCCGAATATGTGCCGTTAACTGCGGTCCTCTGCGTGTAGTTTGTCAATATTCACCAACACCGGCGAAGACTGTCTGGAAAGTCAGACTGTTCCTGACCATGACTGACAGTTGACACAATTACAGAAGCCGAGAACTAGCACTTATTCACCGGTGTCTGGCAGGTCTGCCACGCTCAACAATAAACCGGTGCTAGTGTGTCTAAAATAAACCGCAGTCTTGCCGTTGTGAATTGTAACGTTATTGTTATTTTTCTTACTTATTTCTGACATCTCTGTTTACAAAATAGCACCTCAACAGTTTCCAGTGTGAAGCCATTGTACCTGACTGAACCGTAGTGTTAGCAGTAACAAAACCACGCAGCGGTGACAGCAGATCAACCGCCAACCAGAACAAGTGTCCGTTCGGCGGCTGGACGCAGAAATGCGGCCGGACGTGGAGAAACTTACCGATTAAAATAGATAAAATGAGTCGAACCGCTGGCTCCGGGGAACCTAACGACTCCGCTAATTTCTCCATCAAGGGAGCCGCCATCTTTCTTGTGGGCGGAAACGTCTCAGAGTGCTGCGCGAAGAGTGGCTTTAAGTCTCCTGACTCACTCACTCCCTCGGTCACTCACCCAGTCACCTTTAAAAATCAAGATTAAAGACAATAGACGGCAGCGAAGAAGAATGTCTTCCTGTGGAACACTTTCGTTTAAAAGGAAAAAAAAACAAAACTGAAACGTCAGGGTATTGTCCTGTGAGTCACTCATCCTGTCATGAAATAAATATTTGTATCAGCTTGAAACAATTTTTTTAATTAAACGTTTTTCTAGATTGAAAATAAAAAAGCACATGAACCCCATTATTACCAGAACAAATTTTACGAATTTTACCATTTTAATTCTACTTGCTATATTTTAATAATCAACACCTGAAACTTCATAAAAGTTTAAACAGTTAGTAAATACAAGGGCAGTGCAGATCCGTTATTATATTGTCCACGGTTGGGTGTTTTTGACAGACGAAGCCTGTTGCATAATTAATAT